AGAACTGGAGTGGATTCCCAATGAGATCCATGGATTTCTAGGAATCTTCTGGATTGAATTGAGGATTCTCATCCATGGAATTTTTCCCAAGCTCTCTCTAAGTTATAGATCGAAGAGCCGGGAGATTCGGTTCTTAATGATGCATTAAGATCTTCTCCAGCTCCTATTGAAAGCAATCTCATAATTCCAATCGGAAAGATCCACAATTCAATCCAGAAGATTCCTAGAAATCCATGGATCTCATTGGGAATCCACTCCAGTTCTAGTCCCGCCTTAGGCACGAAAGCCCGCTGGATGACTTTGAGCCAATCATCAGGTGATGATGAGTTCTAGTCCTGCCTTAGGCATGAAAGCCGCCTCGGTGACTTTGAGAAAATCACTAGGAGACAGTGAATTCTAGTCCCACCTTAGTCATGAAAGCCCGCTGGATGACTTTGAGCCAATCATCAGGTGATTTTGAGTTCTAGTCCTGCCTTAGGCATGAAAGCCGCCTCGGTGACTTTGAGAAAATCACTAGGAGACAGTGAATTCTAGTCCCACCTTAGTCATGAAAGCCCGCTGGGTGACTTTGAGCCAATCACCAAGTGATGGTGAGTTCTAGTCCTGCCTACGGCATGAAAGCCAGCTGAGTGACTTTGAGCCAATCACCAGGAGACGGTGAGTTCTAGTCCCACCTTAGGTATAAAAGCCAGCTGGATGACTTTAGACCAATGACCAGGAGACTGGGACTTCTAGTCCTGCCTTAGGCATGAAAGCCAACCGAGTGACTTTGGATCAATCACCAGGAGACGGTGTGTTCTAGTCCTGCCTTAGCTTAAGGGTGGGTGGATGAAATGGGCAGCAAATTACACCTCTATTACGTGATGAAGTTCTCACCTCATTGGAGGATTCTTTTCCTCTTCCGCAGAGTTTTCGCTTCGGCTCCGAAATCGCTTACGTTGGCGCGACTCTCCTGGATATCTGCAAGAAAGTGCGGAAAAAAACACTGGTGGGAAACACCCAGGAAAGTGAGTGTTTTAAGCCAGTCGTCCTCCTTCTATCGCTCCAGGTAGGAAGAATTGCTAAGTGGGACTGACAGGAGGCTCTGCTTTTGACAGGTGATGTCCGAGGGGTCGGCGTGGAGGGGAAGGAGGCCTGCTTATCCCGGAACAACCAAACCGTCTTTGAGGATGCTGTGAACCGCACAGGTGGAGACTCACCTGCTAAGATACACTTGCTGGGGGTGAGTGTGAGAAGGCCCAGGAATGGTAGAGGAGGGATTCCTTCCTCCCCCCCTTCCTCTTTTCCTTCCCTCCCTCTTTTCCTCCCTGCCTTCTATTATTCCTCCTTCCTCCCTTCCTTTTCATCTTTTTTCCTTCCTCCTTCTTTCTTCTCCCTCCCTCCTTCCTCCTCCCTTTTTCCTTTCCTTCCTTCTTCCTCTCTCCCTCCTTCCTTTCATTTCAGGTTTTTTCCTTGCTAATTCTTTCTCCTCCCTCCCTACCCCCCCCTTTTCCTTCCTTCCTTCCACTTCATTTTTTCTTCATTCTTTCTTTCCTTCCTCCTTCTCTCCATTTCACCCTTTTTCCCTTCCTCCTTCTTTCTCCTCCCTCCCTCTCTTTTTCCTTTCTTCCTTCCTTCTTCTTTCCTACCACTTCATTTTTTCTTCATTCTTTCTTTCCTTCCTCCTTTCTATTTCACCTTTTTTCCTTCCTCCTCCTTCCCCCCCCCCCCCCCCCC